TAAAATAGTTTATTTTCTATCCTCTAGGTTTTTGTTCAGGCTATACCCAACGTCAGAAATGTCTTTTCCATTCTCCTCATCTCTGTATATTGCAACTGCCTATGTTCTTAATATGTAGTCTGATGCCACCTCCTCTATGATGAATTCACGGATGTTCCTATGAAAAAAATCTTGGCTTCCTCCTCTAAACCCCCATAGCAAATTGCCTGCATGGTAGGCATGACATTTGTGACACATGTCATGGCTCTCTTCCTCACGAAGTATGTATAGCTCCCCCAACAAATGTGAACTCTTTGGGTGCAGAGATCCTGATAACTCCAGCAAGGTTAAGCATGACCTCCTGCACACAGAAAATAACTATTTGTTAGAGGGATTCCTGGAGTTATGGATGGAGGGATGGGAGAACAGAAGGAAGGTTGGAAGGGTGGATGGAGTGATGGATGGATGGACAGATGGTCCAAACACTCAAGTACAAACAACCATATTTTAGGCTTTGCAGTGGTCATGAATGCTGTTCACCACAGGCCTCAGGTCTTCTACCTTCTGAACATAAACTCTCTATCCTCACTGGTATGGGCCTCCGGGCCTCTCGTCCTCCCTGCTTATTTTTTTCTCCCAGTCAACCCTTCCAACCATAACCACGTTGCTCTCTCCTCCACCTCTGACCTTGGTGGTGACCCATCATCACCACTGTAGTTTGGTAACCTGACAGTGCACCCCTGTGTCTGAGGCTTTCTGTTTACAGCTAATGACTTCTGGGCTCTTAGCTCACAGCTGGGCCATCTGTGGGCCCAAGTTCTGGGATCACCCCTAATTTGAATGTGCTGAATACAGCTAATATTCTTGAATGTCCATGCCTACTCTGAAACACTGAAGCTCAGGAGGAAGGTCTTCCTGCAGGAGTCTTGTTACATGTTACAGTTTAAAATTAAAGCAATGAACAAATCATAGAGAAAGAGAAAAATGTAAGAAAGAGAAAATAAATTTTCGGAGAGAAAATAAATCTTTGAGGGAGGATATTTTGAGGGGCAGTGGGCACTGGGTTGGTTGGTTCATTTTGCTCTGGTAATGGGACCTGGGACTATTTTTCTTTTTTAACTAGTGAAAGGTAGTGAAGAAATAAAGAAACGAAAATTTTTAAAAAGGCTAGTTTCATATCTACTACCTATAAATGTGAGATATAATTTGCAGGGCTCAGTGCAAAATGAAAATGTGGTACCCTTTTTCAAACATTACTGAGAATTTCTAAACAGTCTTTTTGATGGCTGAGTAATATTCCATCATATATATCTCACATCTTTTTTATCCATTCATCTGCTGATGGACATTTGGGCTCTTTCCATATTTTGTTTATTGTGGACTTACCATTTGCAACAACATAGATGGAACTAGAAGGTATTATGCTAAGCAAAATTAAGTCAGCCAGAGAAAGATCCATACCATATGATTTCACTCATATGTAGAATTTAAGAAACAAAAACATAGGAGAAGGGAAGGAAAAATAAAACAAGATGAAATCAGAGAGGGACAAAAACCATAAGAGGCTCTTAATCATAGAAAACAAACTGAGGGTTGCTGGAGGTGAGGAGTGTGGGGGGTGGGGTAACTGGGTGAGGGGCATTAAGGAGGACATGTGATGTAATAAGCACATGATTATATAAGACTGATGAATCACTGAACTCTACCTCTGAAACTAATAATACACCATGTTAACTAAATTGAGTAAAAATAAATAAATAAATAATAAAATAAAAAAGATAAAAGCCTTAGACCTATACTGTCCAATATGATAGCCACTAGCCACAGGAGGCTATTAAGCAATTGATATACAGCTAGTTCAAATGAAGATGTTCCATAAGTATAAAACACACATCAAATTTGAAGAATTAGGACCCCCAAAATGTAAACATTATTTCTGAAATAATGTTATTTCTGATTACATATTGAAAGGACGGTATTTGGAATATATTGAGTTAAATGATATATATTACTAAAATTAATTTTACCCATTTACTTTTTTAATGTTGCTACTAGAAATGTTTAAAATACATATGTGATTCACAGTATGTTTCTACTGGACAGCGCTGCCCTAGAACATGAACAACATCATGGAGTCATTGTATAACTCTGGCTTATGAGAAAAAAATAAATCCTTATTAAGTTGCTGTTAGTCAGATTATCAATTTCTTGAAGCCAAAGGCATTCCTGGCATATACAAGAATCCTTAAAGTGGAGTTTCAGGATGGGTGGAAATGTACAAACTCCTTTAAACTTTGGGGAGCCATGATGGAGATCTTTAAGTTGAGTGTAAGCTGAAGAGGAATAGGAGCTCTGAAAGCCTCACGGAGCAGCAATCACAGAGAAGAGAGAAACATCTACATAGTAGAAGAGCCTACTGACCCCTGGATCTCCGTGGTTTCCAGATTGCCAGGCGCGAGTATCCAAAAGCTTCCCAGCGCCCAAACGGTGCTCAGAAGGAAGCTGAGCGAGGAAAGGAACCGCCTGGTCTATGAGATCATCCTCCAGCCCACCCAAGAAATCACTACCGTGAGAGATAAGACGCCAACTCGCTGCACTCGGGGAGTGTTAAGGATGAGGTCCCATCTCCAATGAGTGGGAATGAGATGGAGCCAAGCCCTGGCTTAAGACCGACACATGGACAGGGAGACATCCGATGCAGAATGTCGTGCACAAGATGAAACAGTGGGCACCCCCTTTGCTCTGCTGCCAAAGTCGCGTTTACACAAGCTTCTGGTAAATTCATTAAACAATGAATTGTGCCTGTGCCTACAGAAGCAAACTAGCATCTGAGCCTGGAAAGGTACCAAGGTTACAAAATCAAAATGCTAAGGACAATCAAACACAAATAGCCACCTAGGCTTTAAGTTGTAGATAATCCGGTAACTTCCTTTCTTTGCTTCTGCACTTCCTCTGTATGTGTTTCCCCTGATTCCTGTCCACAGAGTGCTCCTAACCTCTTCCAGTTTGGCACTTCCCCCATTGGAATCAATTTTCACTCAGATAAGCTCTTAAAATTCTTTTAAATGAAATTAAATTAAATAAAAAAAAATTCTAGACAGTGACAACAGAGTTTTGACCCAAGCATGAGACCTTTCTGGGCACTGGGCCCTTCCCCTGTGAAGCCAGCCCGACCTGTAACACAGAAGCCTTGCAAGACTAGGATCCATGTCGCTCTTGCACACTGTTCCTGCGTTTTAGTCCGTGACCATGGAGAGCGTGGGGCTGTGGCAGCTGAGCTAGACCAGGATCTCTGGAGGAGAAAGGGATGATGCAAAAAAAGTGAGGAACCCCCTGCCCAGCAGCTGCCATTCCTTGTCATCCCGTCCGTGCCCTGCAGTGTCCCAGAGAAGGCCTGCCGTGACAGGGGTCCACACAGGCAGCAGAGGGAGGGACCTCTCAGGGGTCCACCTTGCAGTTTCCGGCTGGGATGTGCACTTCAGCCCTGTCGACCCCAGAACACGCAGCTAAAGGGAAGCAGGAAATAAATGCACCTTTGTGTCCAAATGGATTCTCCTTTCCACATTTAGACGGCACGTGGGGGAGGCCATTTCTGAGCTGGTATGCTGCCATCTGGGAAAGGACCACTCTCACAGTGGTCTAATAACCCACCTCTTTTATCATCCGGGCAGCAGCCGAACTGCTGTTACAATTCACAACCATGCTGCCATTGGCTGTTCTCTGCTTAGTCAGTTTCTTAAGACCCCAGGCCTGTTTTGCATCTCATGTTTCATGATGCAGACCCAAGAGGTCTCAGAGATAAATTGCAAAGGAATGGGGGCTGCAGAAAAGCTGTTTGAGGTGTGCTCTGTCAAAGCATGATAAGCAGGAGTGTGGGCTACGAAGGAGCAGCACCAGGAGGTGGGATCCTCCCTCAGAAGCAGGTGCAGGAGGTGGGATGTGCCAGGCAGAAAAGCCCTGTTGTCACCAGACACGCAGTTTGTAACAGACCTAGCTTTCCTCCAGCAGCCAGCAGTGAGGTGGACAAAGGCAGTGTCTCAAAAAGCAAGAGAGCTCGGCCCCATCATGATTTACATGCAGAAGTGCTTGAATTTCTGTTCTGACAATTATTTCACAAAACAGAGTTCATTCTGCTGACTGCCAGCTTGACCTCACAAGAGTCCAGCCCACGGCAAGGAAACCAAGAGAGAGGAAGACGGATGCTCCTGCTTTCCACCAGCTCCCTTGAGCCCACTCCCTTCCCCCCAACTGCAAAAGGCACTGTGCTGTCCTGACAATGGCCAAGCTTTTCAGAACAGCTGAGAGAAAATCAACAAAGGGTTGCTCCAGCGGCTTTCAGTGCAATTCACTGGCACCTGTGTCTTGCAGCTGCTGCCGCCTGTCGGGCTAATGACACATGATTAAAATGCACGTCCTTAAATCAAAGCTGTGCCAATGGTCAGAAAAGGCAACAAACAGCCCTGGGAGTTTGCTCACTCCCTCTGAGCGGGAGGACCTCATTAGGAAAAAAAAAAAAAAACAAGAGCAAGTTCTGCTCCTGGGAACCTTCTGGAGTTTCCAGATTTATTTGAGCTCCTCCCCAGTACCTGGGAGAAAAGGAGAGCTGGGGGCAGGCCCAATCAGCCACAGCTTGCTGGGCATTCGCACAGCTTGGCGGACCCCCACCTTCACCTCTCCTGCAGGGAGGCCCTGGCGAACAAGGGGCACAGGACAGGAGCAGGCAGGGAGATTTCCCAGAGGAAAAACAGCTGCCTTGCTCTGTTTCCCTCCCTTTTGAGTTGGTGTTGGCAGGGAGGGTGGCTTGAACAAGTGGAGCTCATCATTTCCCCTTTCCCTTCATCCCAGGGGGCCATAAGTGAGGAAGTCATATTCCGTAGGGATCTCTTAGCTGGGTAAGAGCATGTCTGGTGTAAGGCTCCATGCTTTGCAGCGTTCTAAAACTGGACAGACCACTGAGGCTTTCAGCTGCCATGCTGGTGCAGCCAGGGGAGGGACAGAGGTGGCCCCGTGAAGAGCAGTCTTCAAGGTCTGGTAAGATCCAGGTTTCTGTTCCTTAAAGTCTCATCAAGAAGCATGTCCAGGGGGCTTGCGTGAGCATGAGCAAGAATGCCTTGGCCACTTCCCAAATGCCCAGCAAGGATAGGGATGGCCAAAAAGGAGGTCCCAGCAGAACAGTACTCTGCAGTGGGTGATGTGTCATACTCAGGCATGAAGGGCAATGAGAGCCAAGATGGAGGGAAAGCAGTAACAGTGAGTAAGACAGTAAAGAGCAGAATTAGAAGAACAGGCAGACATTGATAGCGTGTAGCCTGGAAGAGCAAAGGTTCACATCTCAGCTCCTTAATCCTCCTGCGTGAGGAATCCCCAAGATGCTGGATATTTCATGCTAAAATTGAGAGTTCCAGGCAAACCGGGATGGTTGATTACCCTGTATGTGACCTTGAGTCCAACTTTAACGTTGATGAACACCAGTTTCACCAACTGAAACATGGCAGACGCGGTGACCCAAATTGCAGCATCATTGTGTATTGGCCTATGAGTGTACCGAAAGTGTCTGGTATGTTCCCTAGAACAACCTAGGGATTAAGTAATAGTATTATAAAAATAGTATTCATGATATTTCAATTAGAATAAGATGCCTTGAGCTCTCTGTCAACAGATGCATACAAGCTGCGGCCAGATGAGACCCTTCCTGGGCGGCTGAAGGGAGCTGAAGCCTCATGCAGGACCACGGGACCAGTTGAGGTCCCATCCCACTGGGGAGTCCAGGACTTCTAGGAGGGAGGGTCTGCAGCGCTGTGAACAAGGATATATGTGAACATTCCGAAAGGTTTGAGGAGGTTGTCTGTGAAGGATGAGCCAGGTTTCCAGACACAGGGCTGAGATGAGAACTCTCTTTATAGGCTGGATACCGGGATTTAAGTTTGGGGAGCCCAGACTTGAGGTGGTCATGACCTCATGGAGAAACACCATGGTTCTGTGCAGCCAGGAAAGAGGAGAACCATCCCCTGCCATGCTGCATGAAGGAGAGGGGAGGCGTGCAGCTCCAGGAGAGGGAGCGGCCTTGAGGCATATTGTCTGCCACGGTGAGTGAGCCCAGAGATGGCTCTGGCTGGTGAGCAAGAGATTCTTTCCCCTCTGGAGACTACATCGAGGGACCATCCTCTAGGAGACAGATTTGCTGGGCCAGGCCACTTGGGTGAGAGGCCCCATGCTGACCTGGGTCTCAGACCTGGGTGGAAATGTTTTGAACAAATGGGGCGACCTCCTTATTGACTTTTAAGCCTCAGCACACCATCACCTGTGCTGTTTTTGAAGAGGTTCTGCTCACAGTGACCTTGACTTCACAACATTTGAATTTTAAATTCAAGAGTGCTCTTGTCCTCAGCTGGATCCTGCAGTTCCAGAGCTCAGGCAGGCAGAACACCCTCTAGAAGCCTGGGGATTCATGGACTCTGTGGTGAGCTTAATCCATGCAGCATCTTGGAATATCTCCAAAATATTCCTACAAGGGTAAGGAGTTTTAAGGAAAAGTCAGGGGCATGGGTCAGGAGCATGGAAAAAGGGGGACAAAGGCAGTTGCATTTGAAGACATCAGGGGAGGGATGGACAATCTAGAGTGAGGGGAGGAATTCGGTGCTATGTGGTGAGCCGGGAATGAAAATTTTAGGTTAGTTTGATGCATCTTCTGTAGTTGGTTTGAAATTGTTCTAATATCCCATGTTCACAGTGGACATACATGATGGATGGACTGCTAATGCAGTGCAAACCATGGTTATTTTACATTTCCTCTGGAAGGATCAACCCAGAATTTCTTAATCCCCATACAGCCTCGCCATGGCCTCCTTTTATCTCTGTGGCTAATCAGTAAAAGGGCAACACGCACATTAAGACACCGCTGAAGTGCCGTGCCGTCTCAGTGATGGCTGCTGTCTGCACTGGGTGTGGCCGATGTGCCCAGCCTCGCTGCTAATGAGAGCATCTGAGAGTCCTGACATGCCATGTCCAGGGAGGCTGCCGGAAGTAATTAGGCGCAGCTTCAGTGAAGGGTTCCGACCTCCACATGTCTAAGACTTGAATGGTGGAAGAGTGAGGGTGCAGCTGTGAGCACTGTTACCTGCCCAGGGTCTCTGAGACCTTCTCCTTCCTGGAGCCCTTCCCTGCCCATCATGCCAGTTCCAGGGGCTGCTGAGGCCCTGAGCACCAGCTCTCTCTCTATCTCATGATGTCCTGAAAGGCAGCGAGGGCCTTTCTGCACATTTCTGGGCTGCCACATCCTGGTTTGCTGCCTATACTCTATTATCAGTGGAATATGTGCAGGACGCCAGGTTATTGATACAGCTTGGAAATGATAAGAAGGCACAACTGGCTGCCATAGACAGGGCCAAATAGACACAGGATAGTGCGTGATGGTGGCCCCTACAAAGCACATATCAGAAGAATACTGAATGGCAGAAAAATGTTGACAGTATGTAGGTAGAACTGGGTAGGTTATTCAAGAGTTAACTGTCTTTTCCTTTGCCTTTTCTTGGGACCTGGCAGCCCCTAGGAAACATGCACCAGTGATGGACAGATTCGGTGATGGCCCCCAGTGACCCTGCCTCTGGGGCTCATACCCCCATGGAATCCCTCCCTCTTGGGTGTGGGCAGGACCTGAAACTCTAACCAACAGAGCATGGCAAATGTCATGGGATGTTGCTTCTGTGCATAGGTTACATCTCCATCTTGTAACTCTCTTGCATGTTTTGGGAAAGCAAGCAGCCATAGTGGAGACATTCATTGCAAGGAATTGAGGACAGACTCTGGCCAATAGCCAAGAAGGAACTGATACCCTCAGTCCAATAGCTGGGGAGCAATGAATCCTGAAACCAGCTACATGAACTTGGAAGCAGGGCCTTCCCTAGGTGAGCCTTCGGATGAGACCTCAGCTGTGTCTCACACATTCATTGCAGCCTTGACAGACACTGAAGAAGGCTCAGGTTAGCTGTGATTGGCTTCCTGACCATGGACACTGGGAGATGATAAATGTGCACTGTTTCAAGTTGCTGAGTCTGGGGTAATTTGTTACAAAGCCACAGAAATGAATATACACCTCCATGCAGTTAAGGTATGCATGACGGGTCTATGCTTTGGTAAGGCACAAAAGCTATCAGGAGTCTACTCATGCTTAGGACTGCCTGGGTGAGTTTGTTGAACTCTTGGCTCAAGTTAGGAAGGTCATTTGCCCATAGATATAAACAGCCCCATCTCATCAGTTTTATCAGCAACAAATGAGATGTTTGACCCCTTGTTTCTTTCACATTTTTCAGATCTTGGGCAGGACAAAGAGAAATACTTCTATGGGGTCTCCTTTAAAACACCTGATTTGAATGCTGGGATCAGGGAAGATTTATCTTTTCACTTATCACTCCATTTTAAAAAGATCTGGGAATATGTGCAATTATTATAATTGGAAAAAAATATTTTTACTTAAAAGGGCCAGCTAGGTGGCCAAGAACATACCAGTGGGTGCTGAGAAGGACTTTTGCTATTATCTTAGATTTCATTTCTATGACTCAAGGTTGAGGATTAAGGTGTCCTGTCCTTAATTTTCAAAAGAATACCAAGACCAGATTCGCACTAAGGACTTACTAAGCTTTGCTACTTACAACCATTATGCTGGGCCCCATTCCTTTCTAGTGCAGAAAACAAAATTGGGGGACATAGAGAAGGAAGAGGAAATTGTCCCAAGTTATGAGCAAGTGTTAAGGCTTGTGTCACTTGCCCCCCACCCAAATCCAAGCAAAGGAGGCTACTAGAGAAACTCATAGAGGTTGGGAGTGCCGAACCAGTGGGAGAATGAAATTCATACTCCCCAGTTGCTACCTTCTGCCCCTGTCTGCCCCTTTCTGCCACACCTGAGTTTATGCTAATGAGGTGACCCCTGGTGGGCTCTCAGGTAGCTTGAAGTAGGGGCTAGCCATGCCACAAGGACAGAGCATTTGATTAGAGGGTTGGAACTTTCAGTCCCACCCCCTGACCTCAACAGAAGGGAGGGGACTGGAGACTGAGATCCATCATGATATAATCAATCATGCCTCAGCAATGAAACTTCTATAATAAACCTGCACAGCAAGGCTTGGACAACTTCCTGGTTTTGGACATATCAGTATCCTGGGGTGGCAATACACCTCAACTCTATAGGGACAGAGACTCCTGCACTCAGGACTACTCCCGATTTTGCCTATGTACCCATTCACCTGACTGTTCATTCCTATCTTTTCTAATAAAACATTAATTTTTAAGCATAGTGCTTTCATGAGTTCTGTGAGTCATTCCAAAGAACTCTCAAAACTGAATGAGTCGGTCATGGGAAACCCCTAATTCATGGCAGGCCATGCAGAAGGAGATGGCCTGGGAACTCCACTTAGTGCTGGTATCTGAAGTTAGGACTGTCCTGAGGGACTCAGTCCTTTAATTTCTGGGATTAGATGCTAACTGTGGGTAGTTAGCATTATAATTGAATTGAATTGAATTGAATTGTAGGACATCCAGCTCGTGTCAGAGAAAGGTGTTGGAATGTAGGCTACAGGCTTTGACGGTCATCAGGTATTAGAGAAGTCACCATAGCTAAGATAATAAAGGCTCCTTTGTCCCTCACTATCTCCTCCTATAACCCCGGGAACAAAAGACCAGACCCTCCAGCCAGGGGGAGGGTAGAATGTCATAGGTTAAGCCTGACTGGCCATTACTGCACAAAGGAATCAGTAGAAAGCTCTGGGACCTGTCCAAGAAGTTGTCATAGGAGCTTCAACAGAACCCAGTTGAAGACCGTGATGGGAAAAAATGACTGGTTCACTCTGCCTCCCCCATGTCCCCCCTCCCGCCGCATCAAGACCAGACTTTTCGGTGTGCTCATGAGTATAATATGTACAGCCAGCAATATTAAATGCATTTGATTATTATAATCACAAGGTTTTCTAATAACTGAGGGCATATATCATACTTACTTCCAAGGGATTTGAGGCACACTGCAACTTAACACAAGGATCAAGTTGACTGGTGTAAATCCCAGGCCTCCAGCCCCAGTTCAAGACAACTCTGGAGGACCACCAGCTTAGCTTCAGAGTGCTGTGTGGCACCAGCTGAGACCCTGCTTACACCCACACCCCAACTTCTCCCTCTGCTCTTGCTCCTTCCTGCCCTCCCTCCTAGATGGCTGCTAATTGGTGCTGATCCCAAGCACTCCTCCACTAGCTTCCTGCCCCCAAATCCCCACTTCAGCTTGTTTCCCCTGGAAGCCACCCTATGACACACACCCTTTGTTTTTTCACTTTCCATTTAAAAGCCAATTTTCTCAGAGTCTCCTCGTTTATGAAGCAAGGGCCATGTATGGAGTGTCATTAGCCCATTTAGTGAATTTCCCTCACACCACTATCCTTGCTTTTAACGACACATGTATTCATCTGGTTGTATTATCAGTGCCAAGCTGTAACCTGCATGAGGGGGAGGGCCCCCTGGTTTATTCACTATCACTTCTGTAGGGCCCTGCCCAGAATGGAGCATAGAGGGCGTTTTCAACATATGATTAAGGAAC